CACAGAAGACTCGAATTGAATTGAAAGGATAGGGTTTGTTTTTTTCCCCCCCCTGAAAGGAATAATGTAATATGTCCTGATGCAGTGTAATCCTACTCCAGAACATAAACAAATTCTTCCACATGGTCAAAAGAATTTACCCTGTGCAGAGGTATTTACAAAAAAAGCTGTTGTTTGTGCTTTAAACACTTGAAAACAGTAACCTTTTATTCTATTGCTAGTAATAATGTCAGTACTTTGCAGTTCAGTATGTTGCATTCAGTTGTGCAGGTAATACATATTTCTTGCCAAATTGCTATTTAAAGAGGGAGTTGCTAGTGGTTTTATTCCTCTTCATTTGTTCCTAGTGAGATACAAGTTTTAGGAAACTGTCAAATAGTTGTAGGAGTGGGAGGGAATGCTCGTACTTTCTCAACAGCATCTTTTTCACTACAAAAGTCTTCCAGTGTATGAATGGTCGTGGATCAGGATATAGATGATACAAACCCTCTGAACTCACCAAGAGCTGCTTAGTCCATTTTTGCTTTCTCCTCACAAAGAAGTAATGCAGTAAGTGTTGCGGTGGTGGTTGAATGCTACAGCTGCTGTCTGGGAGACATACGAGATAGGAAAAAATACCTGAGCTTTGGTAGGACTGCAGGAAACATCCTGTGTCAGCCCTGTGACCAGATGTGAATGAATTGAGGTGGTCGTGATCTGAGCAAGCCTCTGGCATTCCCTCTGAGGCCCATGTCCTATATTCCTTTCATACAATAAAGTGGTTGGAAATTAAAACTAAAGGCCCAGAATTGCAGCATATCCAAGCGGGTGATTCTCATAGGGAACCAGGCTGATAGCAGCGAGTGAAAACCAGCAGGGCAGTTCAAAGTGTTGATCCAGTTGACATTGAACTTGGAACTAAGAGAACTTAAGCAAGGCCTTTCGGTAAATGTCCCAGAGCCCTGACTTGAATATAACTTGTGAAAAATACTATTTCTGCAATATGGGAAACAGAACTAAGCTATGGATGAAAGAGATAAGCTATACATGAAGAAAGAGATTTAATAGAGAAGAATTTCAGTACTGAAATTATTTCATCTTTTATGATGCTAGGAAATCCTCCTGGTGGCCACTGCAAAGAGTACAAGTCATGGCCAAGCTCCAGGTTACAAAGGTTGTCTTGCATCTGCAGGCTGGACCTTAGCATGAACAGGAATTCAGTGCCAGAAGAGCACTACTGTAGAGCAGAACCTCTTTCTTGTTGTGTAATCACTAGTATAAACCTGCATTGCTACAGGTATGGTGTGTTTCCTTCGTCATCTTGTTCCGAGGCAGAAAAAGGACTTTCTAGCCTGTGGTGGTTTTAGTTGGGTAAGAGTTAATTTTCTTCACAGTAGCTGGTCTAAGGCTGTGTGTTGGATTTGTGCTGAGAAGAACATTGATAACGCACAAATTTTCTTTAATTGTCACTAAGGAATTTTTATACCAAGTCAGGGATTCGTAGGTTTCTGATACTGTACCTGTGTTCCCAGTTTCTTCTCTGCAAAAAGCTGAGAGGGCACACAGTCTGGAGAGCTGACCCAAACTGGCCAAAGGGACGTTTCATGCCATCAGACATCATGCTCAGCGTGTAAGTTGGGTTTGGCCTGGCTCTCAGACTCTCCGGCTCTGGCTGCTTGAGACTGGGCTGGGCATTGGTCGGCAGGTGGTGAGCCATTGTATAATTTGTTTTATTTTCCAATATTTAATTACAGATTAGTAGTGGTAGTATTATTTTCATTACATGTTATTATTAGTAATACTGGTATTATTAGTGTTGTTGGTATTGTTAGTATTGTTTGTATCACTATTTTATTAATTTACTTTCAATTATTAAATTGTTCTTGTCTCAACCCAAAAGCTTCCTTGTCTTTTCCTCCAACTCCCCTCCTCCACTGGAGCAAGGGGGAGGTGAGCGTGCGGCTGTGTGGTACTTTGTTGCTGGCTGGGATTAAGCCATCATGACATATCCAGATCTTTCAAGACAGCAATTACCTGGTCTGATTTTCTTCATCAGTCAGTTCTAGCGGTGGAGTTGAAAAGGTTTTCTTCCAAAGCACTTCATTTATAAATATCTATTTTTTCCCCTTAACACCTCTCTTTGGCTTATCTGTGGCTAGAATGCTAAAATGTGTAGAGCACTCCCAGGTCCCCACAGGACTTGTTCATATCCTGTCATCCCTGCTAGCAGTGTATGCTTCCTACTTGTTTTGGGGTAAGGGTATCCCTCCTGCTCTGCACGTGTATCAGCACGTAGCACACTGGGATCCTGATCCGTGACTGTATTTCCAATGTAGCAACAGTCTCTGCTGCACAGAGCTGGTGGGGGGTTTTTTGTGACTGGAAGATGCTTCAGTGAGCCTGTTTGGTTGAATGTGTAGGTTGTTTTACATGGGTTAAGGAAATTGATGTGCCTCTTAAAATCTGCTAAAATAGGATATTACTTTATTTATATAAACTCTTTGGCCTTTACCTTGCCTCCCCAAGGTTGTACGGTATCCTGCACTCTGACGTTGCCAGGTGCCCCTGTTGTCAACTTTCCACCAGCTTAGTTTGTGAATGACAAAGTAAAAATTGTCTCCTTGGTGGGGTGAAGGATCTCCATAGGAAGTGTCCTTTTATTCCTACTGAAGAGGGTGCTTGGTCTTTTGGCACTATTCATCAGTTGGTGTCCCTACAGGTTTTTCACATCTGGTTTATGAGGCTGGCTTCCTACATGGCAAAACACACCCTAGGAGCTGGTAATTGGCAAAAGGATTCAATCCTGGCATCTGTTCAGGAAGGACAGTCCAGCAGGAGGTAGCTCTCTCGCACCTTTCCCTGGCCTGTCTGGTGGGTGTTGTGGCCTGCCTGCGAGGAGACCTCTGCATTAGCAAGTTTTGGTTGGACTGTTTGCTATTTGCATAATATTTGCAGTTCTAAACTGTGTGGGTGATGGCTCTTTCTAAGCATTTTAATAAAATCTAAAAACCAAGACTTTGGAAGGAAACACAGCTTGTCTGCGAGGATGTACCTTTAGCATGAAAGGTGTCAGGCATGAAGCAGATGGTGTTGAGAAACTGCTTCTGTAATTATTGTAATTTTGAATACCAGCTTGTTGAAGGTGAACTTTTAGAATAAGATAGTAGTATTATATGTAGGCCAGGTGTTCTTTGTTAAGTGTTAAGCTGACAAGCCAAAGGACATTTAAACATCCCTAATCAGAACGTTTTAATGATGCTTTGTGCACATTGCCAATTTAGCAAGAAATCTCAAGTTTTGTTCCTGAGGGTAATGAACACTGGTAGACTGATGTCATAAATTTAAGAGGTTGAGAAGGTTTGGTAAGAAGGGAGGAGCCTCCTTGTTTATCAAAAGGGAGGAGGGTATGTGCTCATGTGTCAACTGGATCAACTATTTTGGTAAGTCAGCGAATGTTTAAAAATCCTGTCCTTTTAGCAACCTTTGCTCATTATAACACTAAAAATCACACCCATGGGTCAAAAAAGACCCTTGCCCAGGTGAAGAACCTTCCCCTGAGCATGCGTCATAGGAGAAGTATTATGTCGGCAGTATTGTAATTGTATGTAAATTACTAACCAATCATCATAAGGGAGGTGGACTTGATAATTATTACTAACTGAAAGATTCATGTGTAAACTGAGCATGGAGAACCCTGCTTGGTGTGCTTGATTTGTGGGAAACCACGGGGCACCCAGCCTTGCGCAACCCTGCAATAAATCAGCAGTGTCTCTCCTGAGCGTGTGACTATTGGCTTACTGCACACCGCGTGACAAATCGTTTTTTGGACAAGTCCAGGAGTACATTTCCATGAGCCTTGCAAATGTTAAATGAGATGTGTCCTTTTTAATTGTAAGCTCTGTTCTGACAGTGTGGAGTGGTAGACAACAGTGCCTGAACAAACAAATGCCTTCTTCACATATTGTTTTTGAATCCTTCCACCACTAGATTTTCCTTAACGTCAGTAAAAGTTGGTAAGTCTATGCAAAGAGGGGGTGTCCCGGAGTTGTTTACTGTGTCCGCTTTAGGGCAGTGTTGCTGGGGAGTGATTTTCTCCTGTGCTTGGGCTAGGCAGGGGAACATGTGGAAGCTTAGGCTGGGAACTTTACCCTGTCCCCTGTCCCACTGTGAAGCAGCACTAGAGTCTTTCCTTAACTGCCCAATTACAGTGCCACTGCTGCTGGCCCTCAGCACTGACAGCTCCTTCCAAGAACCGAGTGATCGCTACAGTGATAGCTCCTGCTAGTTGCTGTTAAAAGTGTTTTTAGCCTATAACTAGAGAATTGTGCTTTGGATTGCTGGCAAGCAAGAGGAAGTATGTCTTTGTTCAACTCTTACATATTAAATTAACAAAAGCTAGCAATGATCTGAATTACTAGACTTTTCACCTTCCTATAACTACTTTTCAGTCATATTCAGTTGCTTCTATAAAGGATTAAAAATGAGGTGTGAAAGGATTTACAGCTTCAGGCTCTCTTTACCTTGCACTAAAAGGATTCTAACTCTTTCAGCTTAGCTTTGTATTTCAGGCCTTCCAGACAATAGTTATTGCCCATTGGCTTGACTTCCACAAGGTTTGACCGGCCCTGTCTGGTGCCAGTACTTGACAGCTGTTGAGAGGACCCGTTACTTGCCAGGACGTCCTGTCCCTCAGCTGCTTGCGCTTGCAGGCTTCCTGAATTGCAACAGCCTTGAGTCTTCGTAGAGTATAAATAAAATTCCTTTGGGAATAGACTTGAAAGGTAATTTAAATATGCAACTAGCCAAATTTTACATTGCTTAAAGTTCTTGCACTGTTAATAGATTAATGATGTCAGGCAAAACAAGTTGATGCTTTGCAAAAACAGCTCAGCTTTGGCAGAAACTTGAGGGCCATGATTTTTTGACTGGGTGACATGTTTTTATAGGGGTCTTTGACAGCTTATGAATATTTAAGGTTTGCCTATTTTCTGTCCTTGTGATACTGTTTTGTTTCATTTTTTTCCTAGATAAGCAACGTCTTGTTTTTTGTTTTACCACCCATATGTATGTGCTTGTTCCGTCAGTACGCAACCTGCTTCAACAGTGGAATATATTTAATATGGACCCTGCTAGTTGTGGTTGGTAAGTTGGTTAGTCTCTGCCTGTCTGCTCATGCATGAACTGGGAGGGGAAATCAGTTTTCCTGATGGTGTTTGATCGTTTCACAAAACAGAACAATTCTGACGCCTGCAGAGGCCGAAGCAGCCATAGTTTCTGAAAGGAAAATGCCTTTTGCAATTTGATGTTGGTGGGAACTTCGGCCTTAGTTCTGTTCACTTCCTTTCCTTCCTTTGCATAACCTCTTTTGTTTATGCCTGGGCTTACTCTACAGCAGTGCTGACCCTCCTTCCCCTGTTGTTGCTTAAATGAGAGCTGAAAGTGCTCAGCACAGCTGAAGAGGGTAACAGGTTTTGCATTGTAGTGAGAAAGCCCAAAGGCTTAGGTGTTTTGTAGGTGTGAGATTCATAAGCTTTTCCATTCCTGGAGGCACTGGGAACTTTTAAAGTGATAATCAGAGCCCTGTAGGGCAGTGTGACACTTGGCCACCTGTAAACTTGTATGGTGGGGTAGTCATCAGATGCTGCTTTTCATCTTTGTCTTACCCATGTTGTACTATTGAGAAAATTCAGAAGCAGCATGTGGGTTTCCTTTCTTAATTGGTTTTACATTTAACTTTACCACCTGATACTTCTTCACATCCATCTCCAATTCAAGTAGGAGAGGGCATCTTTAGCTGCTGCTTTTGTAATTAATGGGGTGGTGATGATTTGGGTTGCCCTCATAGGAAGGCTGGCACTTGTTCTCCAGCTTTTTTTTTTTTTGTTTGTTTGGTTGGTTGGTTTTTTAAAATCTTTTCTAGACCATTTGCTGTGAGGTTCTGAACATGCATCGCGTGTTTTGGGCTATACAATACTGCAACATTCATATTGGCTTTTGATTAATTATTCCAGGAATTGGATCTGTTTACTTTCACGCCACCCTCAGTTTCCTGGGCCAGATGCTGGATGAGCTGGCTATTCTCTGGGTCCTGATGTGCGCACTTGCCATGTGGTTCCCTAGGAGGTACCTGCCCAGAGTTTTTAGGAATGACAGGTAATCATAAAATCACATATGTACACTTTAATGTTTCTTGAAACTTCTTATGCTAACACCCAGACCTGCATGTAGTGGTACTGAGTTAACAGCCAACTTTACCACTGCTTCCACTATCTTTCTCACTCCATTCTTTTCCTGTTGCTTGCATCTCAGCCCGTTTTTGTTCAGAATTCCTGAGTCTCTAATTGATAATGGTGGGATTTACACCCTGTAACTTCAGATGTCGGCGTGAGGTGACTTTCCTCTGGAAGTGCTTGTTCTTGTTGATTGTAGGAAGGCCTTTGCATGAGTTGTTCATGTAAGTTGTGGCTGAAGTAAAGTAAGAGAAACTCTCTTTCCATCTTCCTTTTGTGTATCCTAAAGTGTACACCTAAGTGAATCCATAGAAGTCAGTGGAATTTTCATCTGAGTATTTAAGGCAGTGGCTGAGGATGGTGTTTAGCTATTCAGAGGCTGTGTTTGTTTAGAAGCCTATAATTGTTGTAAAAGGATTTTTTTTTCCCCAGAAAGGCATGTTGTAGCCAGTTTAAAGAACCCTAAAAAAATTATGCTATAAGCTTTGTACATATTGCTCTTCTATGCAGTAAAAAAGTTGAGGTAATGGATAGGTTTTAATTGCAGTACCAATGTTCTCTCTGAAAACTGCTGAAGCTGCTGCCTCTTGCCTTCCTCACACTGTTACTATGAATTTTTGGGGTTTTTTTTTCTTGACATGTGACTGATTAGAAGTTGCTGTGTGGGGGGAGGAAAAAGAAGGTTGGTGCCTAGGTTGACCATTCCTCAAAATAGATTGCACTGAGGACAGCGTATCTTGAATTACCCTGTACAGTCCATACAGTCTAATGGCTTTGTTATGGTGTCCTTCTGCACATTGCAACACAGTGCTATTGAAGGATGCCATCAGTTTAACAAGCAAACAGGTTTTACTGGGCTGTTTCGATGACATGACTTTTAGACAATTAGTTCAAGTGAAGAAGTGTTTAGAGTATTGAAGAACTGACTGCCTCTAAATTACTCCTCAGAAGCCTAAGGGGTTCATTATATGTTACCTATTACTGTTAGCGTGAACGCAATTTATGCTACCAAAAATTACATATGTATTAGATTACGACATCAGCCTCACTTCGTATGATAATGAGCTCCGCTTCTCATGGTAATTAGGTCTCCTCCCATCTGAGCATGCGTAGTTCCCTCTGGTGGTGGTCTCGGGGGTCTTCAGGTGGTCGTCTGGTGGTCGTTTAGGTGAATGAACGGCCTTAAACTTTTTACCTTTCTTAGTTCACACATGCGCATTACCTATTTCATTACCTCACTACTTCTATGTTTATAGTTCTCCTAAGTTACAGTACGTTATGAGTTGATCTAATCACACAACATTACCCTTTAACAAAGTCTCCTATGATCTATTTAACATAATTTTAATATCTAACCAATTCTACTGATTTTCTTGTATTTTACCCCAACATTACTACATGCTGCTGGTGTGCCAGGTAGGTTCATAGGGTGGGCCAAGAGGTGAAACTGTATTCTTTTAAAAAGAAATAGTTACGCTTTTGGTGTGAAATTTTGTTTCTATTGAATTTGGTGCTAAAACTGTAGATAATAATCTCCCAGGTTATAACTTAATCATAAAAATACTGAGATGAGGTGAAGTATGTCCCCATCCTGAATTTTTCAGAACACTTCTTCCTTAGAATTTATCAAGGCAGTTATGTGTTAAGGTCTTGATTCCTTTCTGAAGTGTACAGAAGAAAAGCATACTGGGCAACAAACCCTTACCCAGAACAGGTTTGCTTCATATTTTTGGGCTTTTTTGCTTTACCTAGCTATCCTCTATTATTATGCGGTGGTCTTCACTTTCTTCATCCTTATCGCACTCTGAATTTTCAGTGCTGCAAATGTTGTTACCTACCATGACTGTTTCGTGGTGTCTTTAGTCATTAAGGCATTCACATCAGATCAGAACTTCCTGCTTAAAGTAACTTGTTGCCTTAGAGCAGAAAGAAAGACTTTAACGCAGAAGACAGATGGAATGACCTAGGCAAAGGTGAAGATGGTGACACTTGTGGACAGGGAATGGTGCTGCACAAGTATACTGAGACCGTACGTCAGGCATAGAGTTAGGGGCAAAAGAGCTGTCCTTGGACAGCAAGTAGTTTTATGAAGCTATGGGCCAGTAGTTGAAGGGCAGCGTGGTGACCCTCTGTCTGTCTTAGTCTTGCCACAGACTGAAAATTGGTTGTTTAAAGTCCAAACTTGATGCTTAAACAACAGCTAACATATTTAATTAAAAAGTTGTTAGGCTTTCTGTATAGGTCCCAATTGTGATTTCATTTATGCTAGGAATATACCAAACTCTAATCTTCAGAGAGTGTGGGAATCTGTCACCTACTCTTGGATTTGGTTAAAATGAATGTTCTTACTTACCTTGTAGTTTTCAGTATCTTTAAGGCTTAAAAGAGATAAAGAAAAATAAAACAGACTGTAACACGACTCTAGAAGTTTGGACATTAGCAGTTACAAAATATCCTAGAAGTCCGTGTTAGAAGCATGAAGAATGATGAAACCAGACTGCTTTGAAAAAGTACAGTGTTCTGTGCAGAGATGGACTTGTTCCTGACTTACTGTGGGAGCAGGAATATCAGACCATGGCCTTTGGATTTTGAAACCAGTGATTTGTGTGTGTGTGTGCACACGTATGTATACATACACATGGCTGCTTCAGAAGACCACAGTCCAGCAAAGGTTTGTGTGTGTGATTAACTCTGCCTCCACATGTAAATCTGTGCCAGATCCACATCCAATTTATACACATTGTCTTTGTGTCTCCTGAACGCACCTAGAGAAACCTAAACTTTGTTAGATTATTAAAATAATTCTAAGATTTCTGGCTTTAGTAATTACAAGTTTTGAAAAAGCAGTTTTTCTCCCCTACTCAGGAGTCGATTTAAAGCTGCTGTGGGTGTCCTGTCTGGAGTTACTACCTGCCTCGCCTTCATTAAGCCTGCCATCAACAACATCTCGCTGATGACTCTGGGTGTTCCCTGCACAGCTTTGCTCATTGCTGAGTTGAAGAGGTGAGTACATTTCTCCTGAATGCAGCATTGCCTTCTGAGGTCCTCAGGCCACGGTGATGATACACTGGATCTGCCTTCAGTGCTTGTGGTAGCAGATCAGAAATGCTTCTCCCACGTGCAAGCGCAGATCTGGTGTAAACTTGCTCTGCCAGTTCAGACAAAATTGGCAAGGATTTTTTTTTTTCCCTAGGCCATTATACTAGGTCAGATACTTTCTGTCTTCTTGTGACATAACTCTTGCTGCAACCTGGTCTAACTCAAATTTGTTTGTTTATTTTGGAACCAGAGCAAGGGTTTCACTCTCCTGGCAGCATTTCGGCTGTGTAGTCTGCATAAAGGTGAGGTGATGGCATGATCACAGTCTGGATATTAGAGGGAATGAGGAGCAAGGCCCAAGCATGTGTGGAAGATGTTCCAGCTCTCAAAGTTGTACTCTGAGTCTTACATCGCTTTGTCTTTGGACACGGATAATATGATGGAGCCAGATTGACAAAGATAAGGTTGATCTCTAGGTTTGAGAGGATAGCTATCTGTCAGAGCTTTAGAAATGATAAAACCAGAATGCAAATAGAGGAGAACCTGAGGCTGATCTTAACACTTTAGAGTTCTACCATGATAATGATACCAGCAGGTGTCCAGAAACGGATTTTTTTGCATCTCTTCATCCACTGCAAAAAGGCAAGTACCAGCATACACACTTGTCCTTTCCCCTCTTCTCCAGTGTTTGAAGAAGCATTTTACAACTTACGTTGGCTCTTACATAATGTGTGTGTAAATGTCCCTCAAAAGAAACATTGGTCCTACTCTTGTGTAGGACCAAATGTCTGCATTCTGACTGCTTCCGTTAGAACAGACGTTCTCCTGTCTGCTACCGTATCCAATTCTGCCTCTGCTTCTCCATAGAGGGGAAGGGTCTGCTAACAATGTTTTGTCAAGAGGCTCATGAGTCTTTTCTCATTGGATGTCCCACTGAGCAGCATTTGTTTTTGTGGTCAAAGAAACTCGGGAAACCGCACAAGTTAGTTGTAGACAAGAAGATCAGTAGTTGGAGAATGTTGGTGGGGATGTCTCATTTTGATGAAAGCACCAAGGAACTGCTGACAGGGCAAATGGATATCAGGTTATGACACTGAATAATTTAGGTGAACTCTCTACATATCAGTTTTCCAGGCATGAGCTCTGGGAAACTTAAAAGGACAAAGAGTTAGTGTCTCAGAAGTTTGAATACTGTTGTGTAAAATCTAGAAATCGGTATGCCTAGAGATATTTGCTTTTTAAAACTCCTTCTGAAAGGTCGTATCTTACTAAAATGTGTGGACTGTCCTCGTCTGTTATTTGAGAGAGAATTGAGGACACAGATAAACCTTCTTTTGAATTGGTGATTAAAAAGGGACCTAAAGTGACATATGGCACTCTTAATTGTGCATTGGGATGATGTAATGCCTATGATATTTTTTGATGAATTTCTAAGTATAAACAACAAATAATTAAAGGTTTTATTTTAAGCTATGCTGATCCCTTGGAGATTTAAATGAGATATGTTCTTGTAAACCCAGAGGAGACGAGTCATCCCTTTTTGCAGGAGAATAAATAATGTAAGCATTACTTAAATTGCTTGCAATTCTCCCATTCTTTACTACCACAGTCAGTAAAAAGGGCTACACATCCGAGTCCTAGCAGTCTGCAGCAGAAATTTATCTGTGAAACAGGTATCTGGGGAAGGAAGGAGCCTCCAGAGTATTTTCATCTGTTCCATGCTGAAATTTGTGATGTGTTACACCAAAATTCCCTGTTGTGATTCCTGTTCTATGCTGGTGCCAATCTTTTATAGAATTCTGGTGAATCAGAACCACTGTGTTTTCAAATGAGAATTTTCTGCCTCTCATTCGTCCCTGATGAGGAGATAATGTTCTCACAAAAGAGCATTATGTTCTTAAAAGCAGAGCTGGTAGGATACAGTGTATGCTATTAAGTATTGTGGGTGGGATATGATCAGAAGAGCAAAAGGTCAAGTGCACAGTTGTCCCAGAGAGACAAAGAAATTGTAAAACTTTATTCTCATTTCTGTCTAAACAAATCTCCTCGTGTTGCGTTAAAACAAACCAACAAAGAAAGCTTTCCTAGGCAAATGGTATCAGGCAGAAGGTAGATGTGTATGCTTTGGCTGGCTGGTCCAAGCCAAATAACTATTGAGACTATAACATCATCAAATTAGTATGATTTAGTGAGATACCAGGCATGTGACTACTTCCACGTGCAGATAGATGCTAGAATATTGCTGCTCAGCTGACACCTTAGCCTTGAGCAGTGAGGGTTCAGCCTAGCTTCAGGCTAAGGAATGGGTTTGGGTTCATGTCTCTTGCAGTGTCCAGGTGGTATTTGCATTACGCCTCCTCATTGTGGTAAAAGCAGTGTCAGGTAGGAAGCTTTGCAGTTTCCTGCCTCCTCAGTGAGTGTGTCCGCAGCCCGTTCACAGCACAGTCACTGCAGGAACTGAAGACTGATGGGTGATAACAGAAAGCCCATGAGTATTGCACAGATCAGCAGGCTGTGCTGTCCTCTTTGTGCTTGACTCTTTCTGCCTTTGTCTTTTGCAGTACCCTTGGAGCATCTAGTCTTAAGTTTATAAAAGCACATTGCAGCACCTGATGGTGGTACTAGGCAGACCTGTCATTACAGTCTGTACCATTTCTATGGCTGATTTTGCACTGGGAAAGTTTCTTGAAGTAAGCTTTCAGTTTTCCTTTACAGCCTTGAACTCTTTGAATCACGCAGGTTAATTGTGCTCTCCTCCAGGTATTCAGACAAGTCGGATACTGACCGGCATGGTCGCTGACTAAAGGAGCTGGATGTTTGAGGCCAAGCCTCTTACCTTAATTGGAATGCAGTTGCACGTGGTTTTTTTATGTCCTTCAGACAAGTCCAGGAAAGCCTCTATGTTCTCAGTACACACACCCTTTCCTCTGTCAGAATGCACAAGTACCCACTGCAGCAGTCCAGTTTTATCTGTCAAATGTACCCAATTGATCCACTTAGGTACATGGTTTAGTCTCTTGCTCTTGTGAACAGCTGTGTGTCTCACTGCAGACTGTAAATCTGCGTTAGCATTAGTGGGAGGGAATTAAGCCTGGTGTGCTCAATACAGTGGTGTTTTTGACCAATATCTGTTTTCCCTCTTCTTTTACAAAGGGGTCCATGCTGTCTAGCCATTTGGTAGAAGGGTCAATCCTCCAGAATGAGGAGGATTTGGTACAGTTTTACTGATAAAACTGTGCCAAATCTTGGATGTATTTCTTACTGGCTTGTCTCATAGAAGAGGGTAAAGAAGAACTAGTGTAGCTGCACTCTGAAACTGGATAGGCAGCTCAGAAAATCTCCTTGCCTTTTTTTACAGTATGCAGCACAAACGATCTTGAAGCCGTCTTGTGCAAATTGTGTCTCCTGTAACTATGTCTTGGTGAAAGGCAAAATGAAATGGAGGATTCAGGCCTAAGAAAAAAGCCATTTTTGGTTTATATGCTATGTGAAGTACTAATTTTTGTGGCGGTCATGTAGGTGTTCTTGTTACGAAAACAACTATTGTGATACCTTTCTTGTGGAGGAGGCTACCGTAGTTGAAGCAATTTTTAGCCAGTAGTTGAAGCAATTTTTTGAATAACAAAGATAGGTGTGAAGATTTTGCATGTGGCATTATTTATAGATGGCTTTAAAAAGAAATGCCAGATCCTAAAACCAGCTTGTGCAAAAGACACTGGAGAAAATCTTCTGTCAACGAGATTAGGCAACTGGTAGCTTTTCTGTCTTTAATCCAATAGCTCTACAGGTACCTTCTGCTCGGCCTTAGGAGTTTCTTAATCACAAATGCCTTTTAAAATGTCAACTGAAAAAGCATTTCAGGAGTGAAAAAAACCTCCTATAGGAAAAAATGTACTAACTCTTTATCACCAGACCCACGTATACTGCTGCTCCGGCAGTACCTTCAGACAAGTGTTCCTGGCCAGAGCACTCTGTGTGTGTTGTCAGTTTTTCTGAATACTTAGCTAGGCTCCCTTAGCAAAGCTCCAGTAACAGTGTCAGTTCTGCTTTTCCACCACAGATAGGCAGGAGTCATTCTCTGCCCTGTCCTCTTCCAGCGGAGTAGTTGGAGGTCATCTCACACGTGCAGGGGGGTGTAGTGACAAATTTTAGCTTGAGGACAAAGCTAGCATTACTATTTCCCTGAGAGTGAGTGCAGGGTAGCCTGTGTCTTACAGGCTGTTTGTGGCCATGGAGACAATTGGCAGTAAATATTGGAAAAATTAGAACTTTGTAATGTATCAAATGAGAACAACAGATTTCAGACTGACAAGTATTTGTGTGGAAGACAAAAAGACCAAAGACCTTTTTGGTCTGTGCTGAGCTCCATTAGTCAGTTGTCAAGGACAGTCATGTATAAAGAGAATCAGTGACCATAAGTACTGCTGCAGTGCACACAGTAAAGATGTATTTGCCTATTCTAGCTCACTCTTCCAGGAATACATGCATTTGAATTGCTTCTCAGTGTTAAAAGGTGATGTGTCCCTTTAAAGGACCTGTTTGCCAGGCATTGCTCACTGTCCAGATGCAGTGAATGAGCCCAAGAATTGTGTGGACTAAGGCTGGTGATTCAGTGCCAAGTCTACTGGGGTGACTGGATTGGAGCAGAAAGGTTGGCTGGTGATCTGCTGAAGAATGGGAAGCATGGAGACATTCCTAATAACTTTTTTGCGGAGGTGTAAGACATAGATGGTGAGTGTGGATTAGAAGAGACTCTCTTGAAGACCTTGGGACAGAGGAAGGGTTTGTGGGGAGCTTGGCATTGACTTGTTTGCCTTCCAAGATGTAGAAGGAGAAGACAGGAACCTGTAACCCTGATGAAGGCTGTGTATTCCTTGTTCTACTGGCTAGAGATTTGGCTTATTGGTTTACTCTTGAGATGTAGCTCAAACAAGTCACTTTAAACAAATTATTCTGTCATCTGATTAGTGAGTTTGGTAGTGCTTTGAGAGATCATATCAGTGACCTGAGAAGAGCAGTTCATTGAAGCAAAAATTGTCCAAGAGCAGTGAATGGTTCTCATATCCCTGGGAAATTCACCAAGAGTTTAACAGCAACAAGAACAGAAGGAGGCTGGAGGGGGGGAAACTCCCAAATCATAGCTTTGTTCTAATCACTAGTTGTCCTAGAAAGTCCTCCCTAGATAGACTAATGCTTTGATGTTTGCCCACCATTTGCCCATCAGTATTTAGGACAATACCCAAAACAGAGCTGTTGATTAACAGGTTTGTTCTGTCACCTCCCCGCTGCCTTGCATCAGAGACCTGTTTACCATAAGTAAAGTTGCTCTGTTAGGGACATTTATGGCGGAGCCATTTTAAAGATGTGTGCCTGGCATCCTGAATCCTACCCTAAAATATATACAACCAAAAACATCAAGCTGTCGTTACAAGCCAAACTTTGTTCTCTTTTGTAATAACTTCTTTGTGCATTTTTCCTCAGGTGTGAAAACCTGCGTGTGTACAAACTGGGTCTCTTTTCAGGTCTTTGGTGGATGCTAGCACTTTTCTGCTGGATCAGTGACAAAGCATTTTGTGAGATCTGGTCCTCATTTAACTTCCCCTATTTGCACTGTGTATGGTAAGTGTTGTGTATAAACTCCACCGTTTGGTTCAAATGTGATACGTCTTCACCACATTACCCTCCTGTGCTGCCTGCTGTCTATTACTGGTTAGATTATAAGCACAGAGAAAGTCTCACACTATCCAAAGTGCCAGATTTAGGAGTCTCTTTGGCCTGATCAGATTCTTCAGACACTAAGTTCATTAATTGTAACTGAATTCCTTGCCCTGCTAGTTACTGAAAATCCCACAGCACCGCTCTACTGAAGCAGTGACTGTGAAGTCTTGAACTTCCACTGTTAGCACCTGAGGATGAAGTCAGGGACCAGTGAAGGGCTTTGATGCCTTTTGTTTTTACCACCCAGCAAACTTGTGTTCTTTTATTCAAGATGCCATATCTCAGCATATCTACACAAATCTGTCAGGTGCAGAGAGGCTAAAAAGCTGCAGCCAGTTTAGGATTAGCTATAGTTTTGTAGTTTTCCTTATTGTCTGTATTCTTTGCCTGCATGCAAAGGGCAGACAGCAGTCCTATGTAGAACTCGGGGGAAGAAGGTGAAGGACAGGCTGATTTTAAGGCATGGTGATATATTTGATTGATTTTCTGAAGTCATATTACTGATTCTCTCTCTTTCTCTCTCTCTTTCTCTCTCTCTTTCTCTCTCTCTTTCTCTTTCTCTCTCTTTCTCTCTCTCTTTCTCTTTCTCTCTCTTTCTCTTTCTCTCTCTTTCTCTTTCTCTCTCTCTCTCTCTTTCTCTCTCTCTCTCTTTCTCTCTCTCTCTCTTTCTCTCTCTTTCTCTTGTGCGGGTGTCTATTCTCAGGCACATTTTGATTTGCCTTGCGGCGTACCTGGGCTGTGTCTGCTTTGCTTACTTCGATGCTGTCTCTGAGATCCCTGAGCAGGGGCCTGTCATAAAGTTCTGGCCCAGTGAAAGATGGGCATTTATTGGTGTTCCCTACGTCACCCTCCTCTGCGCACACAAGAAATCGCCTGTGAAGATCACATGAGGTTGGCCATGGAATGGGGATGGAGTTTCAACTTACATTCCGGCACAGACAGTATTTAAATAATGATAAATGAATAAGGGTTGTATTTTGTCTTCTTCCTAAGATATGCAGCACATCATGTGTCATAGAAAGAGGAGGCAAGCGTGTTCTTTCCTTTCTCTGGAGAAGAGAGTGGAAGCTGGGAGGTGGAGGCTTTTGAACACTAACTTCTAGCTTCTCTGGTTGGCTCTGTTTTGCACTGTGTTTTCAATGTAGCATTTCTCTTGATAAAAGCTCTTTCCAAATAACAGGATCAAGGAGTGGTGTTTCTGCAGTAGGTCGCCTCTGGTGCTTGATTCACATCTTTTGTACCTTCTGGCTTAAGGCCTTCTTTGCGAAAGAAGCCAGCCCAAGGTGCCTACGTGCCATCCTGTGTCCTTCTCAGCACTGATTTTGGCGTGCTTGCGCATGGCTACAAGAGCGTGCTGGAAGCTCGCACTCCTCCCAGCCCTCCCAGTAACACGGGATGTTCGGCTGGGCATCACACTGGGTCACGGGGTGTGGTTGCTTCCCCAAGTACAACAGGAGACCAGCACAAACTGTTTGCAACCGAGTGACTGGATCAGTGCAGTTAGGCAGTGTAAATGCAGGAATAGCTGACGGAAGGTTCAGTCCGTAGAGCTAAACAGGAGTTCAAGGGTTTTCAATTTTTTTGTATTTCCACTGACCTATGGACATTTGTATGCTGCATATTTCCCTCTTACAGAAATGTCACAGAAATCCCTTTCTACCTCTGCAGACATGTTTGTTGTTGGATTTGGTGTTGAAGCTCTCACAGAAGTGAACATTAACTTCAGTAAGAGCTCAGGTCAGCATGGATTGACATTGTGATTAAACTATAAAAACTTATAGGTGCCTAGGTGTGCATCTAATTTCAGAGTTAGCTTCTCACCCATGCATTGCAAAGTGACATTAACAATTACCCAGTGCTCTGCTAGTCATACTTGGGAAAGAAAGTATATACCTGCTTAAAAACTAAGCTGAAGACTTAGATTTCAGTGGGCAATGAAATGTGATGTTGCATTCTTACAAAAGAATACCAGACTAAAAGTTTCTGTTTGATTTCAGCCTGTTTTGTAAAGCTAAGGGATGCCTTTATTTTTAAGATTGTACTCAGCTAAGGTTGAGGTTCAGGGACAGCTATCGTTTTTGCAAGCAATTTGCGGTAGGCCAGTTTAAAATAATGAAGCAAAATGCAGGCATGTCTTTCAGATATTAGCAACTGTCATTGCTACTAGCTGCAGTCCTGGAGAAAATAGGGCCTGCTTATATTCCATCTAATGTCGGAACTGTAAGTGGGTTAAGACTATGGATGTACACTTTTATTAATAAGTGGTATTTTCTTTTTGAATATTAGACCAGGAAACACCGTTTGTGCTTTGATAAGAAGTCTCAAGTTGTACTTGGTTTTTATCAATGTAAAAATGTACTTTATACAGTATCATCTTTAGGAAAGTGGCTTTTAACAAGAACTTTGGGGTTAATTAACTTTGTATCATTGTAAAACCTTTCAGATAACTTTTGTATTAAAATCTATGCTTAGAAAACAAGAGCTAAGGTGTGTGCCGTTACACTTAAAGTGAAGTTGTTAGTGGAAGATACGACTGTCTTCTTGAGAACTTCAGAGTGGGTAAGTAGCCTACTGTCAGATTGACTGACAGATCATAAAAGCAGCAAAATCTGCCCAGTGGAACAATGCAGGTTTATACCACTCAGTAGTAGACTTGTTTGAGAGGAATGTGGTTTTTTGACACAGTCGTATATTTTTTGTATTAAACTTATTTGTAAAAATTCATATAGTAATGTTTGTAACTCTCTGAAACACAGCTGCTTTTCCCTGTTTGTTCCTCTCTTCCTAATTAGAAAATGCTCAGTTTTGAACACTTCTCAGGTATTAGAAGTCATATGATTTGATCTTTACCCAAATAGATAGCTGGAACCCTGCTAAGGTTCCTGATGCCTGTCTTGGCCCTACTTTGAGTGAGATTTTTCAATATCGTTTGCTAAATTATTATGTTACTGTAATTAAGTTATTTCTAGTGTAGCTTGAGAAATCATTAACCGTGGACATAATGTACTATTCAAACTGACTGGAGCCTTCCTACTTAGTAATTTGTTTGAAAGGAGCCTCTGACTCAAAGGGCTGCAGTCAACCTGCTGTCAACTGCTGTCTTCTGCTCTGCAGAGTCTTGACTGCTCACAATAATTTTGTAATTTAAAAAATGGCAGTAGTGCATTTAGCTACTGCATAGGTGAATGAATACAGGTGCAGACCAAGAATCATCTCCTGTGTTTTTGTTATCTGACCTCTAGCCTTCGTAGTCTTCACAGGAGATTCGGTGAACAAAGATCTCTGATACTCAAAGTTCCACTGTAGAACCAGTTGGGAGTATTCCACTGTAACAGCAGCCCACTACTTTTAGATGCAGCTACTGCACTTTGCATTAAACGAACATTATCTTATATGTTCTGACGAAAGCTATGTTCATTTCCAAGAAAAGAAAAAGCATGCATTTTTTACCAGATTCACCACTTTACATGCTGCACTTCGGACTAAGGCTCTGGTTCACAGTAATGTGAGTACCCAAAGAAGTATGTGGTTGGTGTACAGAGGGGTTTGTGCACTGCCATGATCACACAGACGAGTAGACGTACGCACAGGTAGCTGTATTATGTTCGAGTATAACGTGATGTTTACGCACCCTCAGGTTTTAAAGCCCCAGAATGCTTGCTTCCCTTGCCGCCAGGAAGTGAGTCCTTAGGTTCAATTAGCATTTTAGTTTAATCAGTGGGATGCAATAGTGTGTTGAGCAGAATGTAGTTTCTGTATATTGGCGTGTGATATCCATCATTCCCTGAATGTCAAACTTCAGGTTATTTAAGAAAGGATGAGCTGTCAGTGATCGCAAACACTTGCCCAGATCACAGTCGCTAAAAAACCAATAAATAATATGTGAGGAGTGGTGTTGGAGGTTCTTTTTTTCCATCTCCATTGAAGTCTGTATACTGAATGTTTTTGGAAAGCATGTAATATTTTGCAACATTAAATTGCATTTGGAATAAATATCGTTTACCTTTTCATACATCGGGTTTGTGGAGTTCAATGTAGCTGCCAGTATAATGCCTTAAGTACAGTGAGGATAACATCTCCCTCACATCGGTAATAGCAGTTCTGACTCTTGGAGACAGCATTAGAGAGAAGACCATTAATGAGATAGAGAGTACTTTGCTGAGCACACTTATTTTTTGCAGGTAGAGCAAGAGCTTGGAAAACTGCAAGCCCATGAATCAACAGGGACAAGTAGCAAGAAAAGGCTAAAAATGAGTGGCCTGTATTTCCACAAATCCAGAAAACTGGGTCAGAATGAGTATGTCTAGGAGAACAAAGTGTGAATCTTCAGTGTTCTTTACCCAAGACTCTGGTCACAACTTAGAGAGGGAGGTAATGGCCTTGCACGTGCCCCTCCCCTCCCGCTTTCCTTTTACCACAGTTCTCTCCGTCCATGTAAAAGACCTTTGAAACATTTGGAGATGTTTGGATAAGTCAGTGTGATGGGGCTTGAATTAAATGTTGTGTGAAAGTGTATCTGTAACTCCAGAATGTTACTCACTCAGAGTTAATGTCTGTAGTTGGCAGGATGTCAAAACCAGCTGGTGGACTGGCTCATACATGGTCGTGCCACTCAGCCTGCTCTGTCTGGAGATTCATTGACATGGCTACATGCGGAAACAAGGGGAACACCATCGTACCACTGCATTTCTCTGATAGCTTCAGAGCTCCGGGATTATTTTGACCAAATCTGACAGAAGCAGGAGCCTTAGTTTCCTACAAGCTATGCAAGACAGATGGTCAGGTGGAGAAGCCTGGCGTCTGAGGCAATCTGTCTCAAGAACTGTGTTGTTAAAATAACGGAGAACTTACCCAGGAGGGAAATTAAAGCAGTGCTCGGGTTCTGGATGGGCTTTTCTTGCAGCTCATACCAGCTGCAGCATCAGGAGGCAGTTACACATGGAAGGAATTTCACAGGCATCTCTTACAGAGACAGAGGAATTACTTCGCTGTAGCACAGCGAACCTGCCTTTTCCTCCAAAGTTAGAGGCAGAAACTTCCCCAAGAGGGGCAGTTGAAGATCTCCTATCACCATCCACCTGGTTCTCAGTTGAACACCGTGCAACCTGAGAAAGACTGGAGGAGGAGACTTCTGTGCCCACGAAATCAGGAACCATAAAAAACTGTTTGTAAACTTCCAGCGCATAATGAGGAGGTGAGTAGGAGTAAGAGTTAATCACTGCAGTAAAAAGAAAGACAACAACATCATACTGAAAAAAACATAAGAGGAAGAAATCCTTTCCCTCAGAGAAGGGTAGCAATGAGGATTACCAGTAGTTGGAAAAAAATGGCCTGTGTGAAAAGCAATGTGAGATGGGCGTTAACAGGATATAAGTATTTAGAAGGAAGTGTGCAACGATTCAGATGGGCATTAGGAGAATAGAGGTGCAGGAGGCACAGGGGAAGACTGGCTGGAGGCTCGGATCCTCTGTCTTTTCATGGAGTTACGTTCAAGGGGCAGTTGGAGAAGCTGTAGGCATTTATGTAGGCCATGGGCGCAGCTGATCCTGCCTTGAGACATGGACATGGGGTAGTTGGTGGAAGCCTGGTGACTCGGACACTAAATTTTTTTCCTCCTATTTCTATGTGTACACACACAGGCTGGTCACAGAATGGATTGTGAACAGACTTGGAGATGAGGGCTTGGCGGGGTTGCCCTGGCAGTGAAATTCCAGCTGTAAAAATGAGCATCTGTGCTCTCCGAAGACACTGGGCTTTGTAAATTGTAAATTGTCAGTGTCCCATAAATCTGATCGTGGCTAGATCTTTGTGTTCCTGGACTCTCACAGCTTAAGAGTCCAGGCATATCATAATGGACATTAGTTTCCAGTAACACCCACAGTTTTGATCGCTGGGAGGGCAGAAAGGTGGAACCCAGGGAAAATTCGATGGGGTGAGTACAGTGGAGCACACGTATTTAATCACTTTCCCAAACCATATTCTGACTGGCTCACTCTCTCCTTCCTGCTTTTATTACCCTCGGCATGCAGAAAGTTGCTTGGAGAGATGCTGCCTGCTCTAGGTCCAGCATTCTCCAAGGTAAGTACCTTTCTTTTAAAACGTGTGGTGCTTTGTTGCTGGCTGGGATTAAATGAACCACGATGCTCATGGACTGTATGAAACATTGTTACAAT